CCCCCCACAATTCCAGTAGCGCTGCTGGTGGTTCCCATGTGAAAAAGTTTCCCCCCTCGCTGACAAACAGGGGCTCCTTCATAAGAAAGCAGAGAGAGAGAGAGAGAAGGGAAGGGTGTTTTGTTTCGGGGTTTTTTGTTTTTTTTTACAAACTTAACCCTTGCAAACTGAATTAAAAAAAAAAAACCGGAGGGAAGGCAATTTCTTGAAATCGTTAGGTCTTGAAATGAACAGTCTCTTTCTTGGGTGCATTACGCGCAGATCCTACGGATCTCGATCGATGAGGGTTTTCTATTTTTCGAAACAGAGAAGCATCGCTTGTCTAGAAGGCAGGTCTGCAAAAACGCAGGTCTGCAAAAAAACCTACGGCTTATTTATAGATATATCTGTTTTGGTTTTTCTTGTCTTGCTCCGTCCGTCTTTTAAACCTGTTTTCCTAAGTGTTCCCTTAAATGTCCTTCGCTTAAATTTGCCCCCCCTCCCGTAAATGTTTCCTCGGCATTTCTTCGTTGTTAAAAAAACAAAAAACTGTCCACGTTGCATGTGATATTTGGTTCAATAACCCCGTTTGGAATTCAGATTTTCCCTTGTGTGTTCTTAATGATGGAGGCTGTTGGGTTTAAGGTTCTCTCGGTGTTTCTAAAGGACAATATTCCACCGTGGTATAAGAAGGGAAAAGTTAAAGGCCGTGAAATATCGTCTTGACATTCATTTGCAAGATTCAGCCTACAACCTGGTTCAGATGCTTTAAGTTTCTAAATCATTCAACGGCTATTAAACTTAAGACGTCTTCCTTTTCGAGTATTTCCATTTCGAGGCCGCACTGCTGAGTTTATCGGGATTCCGGAAAGTTTCCGTTCCATAAGACGATAGATAAAAACGGACGCAATTTAGAAACGAAACCTCTGAATTCCAAAATTGGAATTCGTGCGGGATTTTTTTTTTCTCCCAGCGTAAGCTCCAGGGAGAAAAAGCTAAAGGAATTGAAGTTTTTAGCACCCCCCCCCCAAAAAAAAACAGCTGAGCAAAGAAGCCCAGGCGAGCAGTTTTAAAGCTGGCTTAATAAAACCTCCATGTGCGGAAATAGTCTATCTCTGAAGAGCCGTTCC